GGTGGGGTGGGTGGGGTGACAGGGGTCAGTGATAGACACAGGTCAGGGGTCAGGGATAGACACAGGTCAGGGGTCAGGGATAGACACAGGTCAGGGGTCAGGGATAGACACAGATCAGGGGTGAAACACAGGTCAGGGATGGACAGGGGTCAGGGATGGACAGGGGTCACTGATGGACAGGGGTCAGGGATTTGGGGACAGGATGGGATTTAGGGACAGGACTAGGTTTGGGGACAGGACAATGTTTGAGATCAGGATGGGATCTGGGGACAGGATGAGGTTTGGGGATGGGACTAATCTTGGGAACAGGATGGGATTTAGGCACAGGATTTGGAATTTGGGAGCAGGATGAGGTTTAGGGACAGAAGGGGATTTGGGAGCAGGATGAGGTTTGGGGATGGGATGAGACTTGGGAACAGGATGAGATTTGGGAACAGTATTTGGAATTTGGGAGCAGGATGAAGGACAGAAGGGGATTTAGGTACAGGACAGTGTTTGAGTGATCTCAAACATCGTGATGGATTGGATTTGGGGACAGACGAGGTTTGGGGACAGGACAGTGTTTGGGATCAGGATGAGACTTGGGCACAGGATTTGGAATTTGGGACTGGGGATGAGCACACCCACCTACAGACGCGGCTCTCCTGGGGGTGGCTGCCGGAGGAGCAGAAGAGGCTGCAGGAGGTTTTGGTGTCCCGCAGGAAGCTCCGCGCCGAGCCCGCCCGCAGCTCCTCCACCTTGAGGAACCTGTGCTCCTTCTTCTTGTGCCACCAGCGGTGCTCCTCGCAGCAGCGGCCGCACAGGAACTCCTCGCACTCCTCGCACCACACCAGCGCCTCCTCGGCGCGGCAGCGGCCGCAGCAGGGCCCGCGGGAGCTGCGGATCTGCTTCCAGAGCTCCAGGCGGCTCCGCAGGTTGCTGAAGAGCAGGTTATCCACGGCCGGAGCGGCCGCGGCCCCCTGGCAGCGCGGGCACTGCTTGGCATCGCTCAGGCAGCCGGGGCACAGCGTGTGCAGGCAGCCGAGCAGCCGGGGGTGAGCCGAGTCCTGCCCGCAGCCCTCGCACAGCAGGAACTGGAAATCCTCGTCATCCTCACCACCATCCTCATCCTCATCCTCCTCCTCCTCCCGAGGCGGGGCGGCGGCGCCCGCGGAGGGTCCCGGTGCTGACGGGGCCTCGCTTCCGTCTC